GTGATATAGCCATTATGTTAACTGGTGTGCCTTTTTTTTTTTTTTTTTTAATACAGGGTGCATGTGCTTGCTAGAGAGAGATAAACAAAGACATCCTGTCCCCATGTGGGATAGCCAAACCGCAATTCCTTCTCTTCCATTCTCCTTTCCAGATCTTGGGCACAGGTGCTACCAGACCAATCAGCAGTGGGCCACATGGGATCCAGCTGCCTTAAGCACCACGCCACCTGCTGGCTCTGAAATAAGTACCATAATTGATATTAAATTTATGCACCTAAATTGTTCATTCAATAAATACTTACTGGCCACCTACTGTATGCCAGGCTTTTTGCTGTAACTGTGAATGGGAAAGCCTTATCCTTGAGAATATCAAATGCCAATGGGGAGACAGGCAAATAAACAAAAGCTGCAACTAACAAATAAATTGTTCTGAGGCAAGGACTACCAAAGTGTCAGAACTGCTCAGAGAAGACAATGTCTCAAGGAAAGCTTTGGAAAGAATACAGACCCTTTTCAAGATCTTATCCCATGAGGCTGTTACATTTATTCATGAAATAATATATCCCAAATAGTCAAAGTTAAAACAACAAAAACCATTTTTAGTCTTATCTATGTATTTCACAGTACATTTTTCTGATAAAAAGTCTCAGTAGTTCAAGGGTATAGTTTGTTTCCTTTAAACAATCAAGTTATTCACAAATTTTGTGACTATTCTGATAATCAGGTGAGAACAGAAAGTCAATAAACTTGTAGGGCCAGAAGGTAGTGTGGTGGTTAAGGCGCCGGACTTCCACATGGCTCACCTCAGTTTGAGTCCAGAACCTGGTGGCTTGCTTCTCACTTTCCCTCTCTCTTTTTTCTCTCTCTCTCTGGTGAGCAAAAGTGCCCTATAGCAAATTAAAAACTAATTATAATAAAAAATAAATACTTCTTTAAAAATAGAGTTAATAAACTTACTTTCCTATGTGCTTTGAGAAGTGTTTTTCACCAACACAGAACTGCTGGAATAATGTATACATAAACTTTCAAGGAGACTTCACCAACAGTTTTTTGCCCTTTTGTGTGCTTATATCTTAGTTTAAGGAGAAAAAGAGAGAGGAGTTTATCACTCTGAAATTATGTCACTATAAACTGTCATAATTCAAAATAATAAATCAAACATTATATACTTAATATATAGTATATGCTTCGGTTGACTCTTGGTACTCATCGCTACATGTTCTTGTTTTTGTTTTTTTGCTGTTTTAGTCTTTGCTACAGGGCACTTGTGCTCACCTGTGAGACACATAGAAAGAGAGAGAGAAGGAAAATGAAAATTCACTCCCTAAGGGGGATAGCTACAGGATTCTGGGCATGTGTTCTTCAAGCCACCAAGTCTGGGACTTGAACCGCACAGTCAGCCATTTGCGATCCAACCACCTTAAACACCACACTAGCAAGTGCTTATTGTCTCAGTGTCATCTGAAGTGGAGATAATAACAGTATCTGCCTCATTGGATTACTATAAATATTAAATGAAAGAATAGATAAAGTAGTCCATGTACAAGATCTTCAAAAAGCTCACAGAAAATGCATGTTATAAAGAAACTATGGATTGATTTCAAATTTCTGCACCAAAATAAACTCATACTTTTAATTCCATTTTTCCCCCAAGAATTTTTGAAATCCCTTTGTAGCAAGACAATCTATGTAAAACTCTTAGAATAGGGCGTGGCATATAAATAAGCACTTGATACATGTTAATAGTTACTATTACATGCAGTTGCTCCTCCATAACCTGGGATTCAGTCAACCACGAATGGAACATGGTAACACTGTCACTGACATGTACTATATAGTTAGGTCGACCATGGTTTTATCTGTATTGGACACATACAGACTTTTTTGTCTTGACATCATTTCCTAAACAACATGGCATAAGAACTATTTACACATGGTATTAGATATTGTAATCTAGAGATTATTTAAAGTAATGGAGAGTGCCTGGCATGATTTTCAAGCCACTAGGTCTGGGACTCATACTGTGGTCAGTCATGTGGGAATCCAGCTCCTTAATCACTATGCCACCTGCTGGACCCCAGATTGCAAATATTTTATTTAATAAGTAAAGATGCTATAACTACTGATTAATAAATTGATTATTTCAAATACATCTTAGAAATAGGAAAGGAGTAACAGGATAGTGCTGGTGTTTAAGGGTTATATGATAATGAACAAAGCAAATAGCTCTAGTTTTTAAAAAGCCTTTACATATTATGCATTGCAATCATTTCAACAAAAAGTAAACACATTAAAATTTATGTTAATAACACTGAAAATTTTAATTCATAAAAATTTATCTTGTGGCAGAGAGATATGAAATTTCACTCCTTATGGATAGCTTAATAGAATAAAAGCCAAACATGCCCAAATAGACATATTAATGTATAATTTCACTACATCATTTATTACTAGGGTCACTGAAATAAAATAATCTAGCACTTGTTCAAACTATCTGTACAAATGAATAAACAAAATCTCAAAGACATCAAATCATTTTAATACAAATCTCCATGGAAGAAGGTTAATAAGAGTTTGTAGCAGTCAAATATATAATTAAATCAACAAGTGTTTATTGAATTAACTACTGTGGACCTACTGTATTATACCCAAGCAGCAGCTCCTTAAGCAATGAGAAATTGCTACTCACCAGCAAGGGTGTAATCCATATCAAAACCAAAACACTTAATTTTTTCCATGGCTAAACTTCGGTTCACAAACACCCTACAGAAAAGAAAAAAAAAATGTATCACAATAAACAATGGGGAAAAAAAATCCAGAAATTTAGTGAAGTTACTGGCTATTTTTCTAGGTGTTCTTTACTTATTTATTTAGTCATTCATTTTTCAAACTGATTTTTTTTAGTTATTTTTCTTTTATAGTGTACATATTTATTTAAGGTGTACAACATGTTTTGATATATTTACCTTGAGATACACCCACACTCACAGTGAAGTTATTACTATGGTCAAGCAATTAACATACTCATTATCCCACACAATTACTTACCTTCCCCTCTCTCCCTTCCTCTTTTTCTTTTTCTGTCTTTTTCTCTCCTTTTTTTTCCCCCTTTGGTGTGGCAAGAATAGCCAAAATCCACTCCCTGGACAAATTGCCAGTATATAACACAGCATTATTAACTATAATGTTCATATTATACATTAGATCACTTTTTTATCCTATACAACTGTAACTTTGTACTCCTGGATATACATCTTCCCATTCCCCTCCCAACCAGTTTTACTGATTCTATGTATTTTAGATTCCACATGTAAGTGAGATCATGCAGTATTTCTCATTCAGTGTCTTACTTAGTTCACTGAGCTCGGAGTTTACCCATGGTGTCACAAACAATAGGATATACTTTTTTAAAGGCTGGGTCTAGCAGATGACATAGTGGTTACATTGCTGGACTCTCACATTGCCGACCACAGTCTTAAGTCTCAGACCTGATGGCACCAAATTCATACTGGGTGCATGTGCATGCATTCCTAAGATCTCGGGAGAAGGGATTGCAGGTTGACCATCCCCGTTGGGGAGGTGATTTCTCACTTTCCCTCTCACTGTCTCTGTCCAGATCTCTCTCCAGTGAGCATGTGCCCTAAGGCAGAAACCTCTAACAAAAATAAAATAAAATAAAGGCTGAATAAAATTTCATTGTATAAATTCACCACAATTTCTTTATGCATTCACCTGGTAACAGATACTTTGGGTGTTTTCATATTACGGTCTTTGTGAATGATGCTGCAGTGAACATGGGAGCGCAGTTATCTTTACAAGGTGATGCTTTCATTTCTTTTGAGTATAGACCCAGAAGAGGGATTGCTGGGTCATATGGTAGTTCTATTTTTAATTTCTTTAGTAATCTCCATACAGTTTTTCATAGAGAACCTTTTCATGTACCTTTTGGCCATCTTTATATCTTCTTATAGAAATGTCTATTTAGTTCCACTGCCTTTTTTTAGGTTTGTTTGTTGTTGTTTTTCTACTGGGTTCATTATATATTGTGTCTAGTAGTCCCTTATCATAGGCTGCCTTTTCATTTTCTTGACTGTTTCCTTTCGTATGTAGAGGATTTTAGTTATAGACCCACACTTGTTTTTTCCTGCTTTGTTGCCTGTGCTTTTGATATTCTATCAAAAAAATTATTGCTAAGACTAATGTCAAGAAGCTTTTCCCATTTTCTTCTAGATCTTCTTACTCAAATACACACACACACTTTTTTTTTTAATTGCTAAAGGGTACATGCACTCCCGAGGGAGGGGAAGGAGAGACTGGAGGGAGGGAGGGACAGGGAGAGACTGGAGAAAGTAGCCCACAATGAGGCATGGTTATGCCACAATCCCTTCTCTTCCATTTCTCCATCCTGTCAGGATTTGGGGCATGCAAACACACGTGCCACATGTGTTTTTAAAGCTGCTGGGGCTGGAATTAAAATCACAGTTTTGTGGGATCTGGCTCCTTTTAACCACCAGGCCATGGGGCCGATCCTCAAATACCAATGTCAAGATCCATAATATGTGGGGCAGCAGGTGGCATGGTGGTTAAAAAGCACTGGATTCCCACATGGTTGACCACAGTTTGAGTCCTAGACCCGGAGGCTTGAAAAACACAATAAATAAATAGGTAAGTAGGTAGGTAGGTAAATAAATGAACGAATGAATGTTTAAAAAAATCCATATGGAACAGTCATGATTAAGGCAACTGAATCCTATATGGTTGACTGTACAGTTTGAGTCCTGAACCAAACAGCTTGAGAAACACACTTTGTGTGTGTGCATGTATACCCAAACTACTGAAAAGAGAAATGGAAAAGGGATTGTTACGTGACCATGCTCAATTGGGGGGAGGGGGCCCTTCATCTCTCTCTCTCTCTCTCTCTCTCTCTCCAGAGAAAACACAAGTCCTCTGGCCAAAAAAAATCCATAAAAATTATTGAAGTTTATCTTATACCAGATACCAGAAACAGATATTACATGAAACATAAAAATATATGGTTTTGGTTGGGGATGGCAGGTGGTGTGATGGTTAAGGGCGCTGGACTCCCACATGGCCAACTGTAGTTCAAGTCCTGGACCTGGCAGCTTGCTATATATATACATGGTTTTAGTTATACTGTATCCTGGCATTAACAATGCCTGATTTGTACTTAAGATTTCAGGGAAGTTCTCCTTTTCAAAGTCTGACCTCATAAAATAAGTTTATTTTCAAGATTTTATAATACATTCAGTTACTCATTTATAATTTGATGAGCAAAACTTGTTTAAAGGCGACCCAAGAAATAAATACAGTTACCGAGTGCCTACTATATGCCAAGCAATACTAAAGATGGCAACTCTTACAATTTTTTTTTTTAAATAAAAGCAGGAGAGACAGAGCACCAGTTTAGAGAGATCAGGAAAATATGTTTGAGCTTAATTCTTTTTTTCCTACTCACTAATGAAAGAGCACATTAACACACATGGGGTTGGGGAATACCCTCTGCAGGGCCTGGTCACACCATGATTCCTTTTCTCCAGTCTTCTAGCCTGCTAGAATTCTTTTTTCTTTTTTAAGGTTTTTGCCATAGGGCATGTATGTTCACTGGAGACAGACAAAGAGAGGGAAAGTGAGAAATTACCCCTTAGGGGGATGGCCACATTGCAATCCCTTCTCCTCCATTCTCCTCTTGGGATTTGGGGCACACAAGCACATGTTCCTGGCATGATTTTCACCAGGTCCGGTACTTGAACCACAGTTGGCCAGGTGGGGAGTCCAGCACCTTAACCACTATACCTGCTGCCCTGGATGAGCTGAATTTTAAACAATCAGTATAAATTTTCCTGAAAAATAAGACAGGAAAGGCAATGCAGGCAAGAATAAACAAGAAAGAAAAAAGTTTACAATGAACTACAAAGTATTTATTATGGCTGGAGCTGAAAAGCTTTCTTTGGTTTTGCTTTTCTGGTTTTGTTTGTTTATTTTGCAGGTTTTCTAAGGGAACAGAGATAGGGCAAAGAGCTATAAGAGTGATTTTAATTATGATACTAAAAAACCCTTAGCAGGAGTCAAAATCATGAACACTTTAGCCCAATCACGGTGGCATGGGTTCACATCCTGAGTCAGTCCGAGCATGATGGTCTTCTGGAGTAAGTGGGGTTTTTTTGTTTCATTTTTTTGCTTTTTAATTTTGCCAGAGGGGGTGTATGCTCACTGAAGGATGGAAGGGAGGAAAGAGAGAAAGTAAGAAGGTATCTTCAAGGGGAATGATCATGCTATAATCCCCTCTCTGTTTCTCCCTCTTTTGGGGTTTTGTTCACATATACACACACCCTTGGAGTATTCTAAATCTGTGACTTGAACTGCGCTCTCAGCTATATAGATACCATGACACAGTAGGCCCTTTGGAGTAAGATGGCCACATTGCAATCCCTTCTCCTCCATTCTCCTCTTGGGATTTGGGGCACACAAGCACATGTTCCTGGCATGATTTTCACCAGGTCCGGTACTTGAACCACAGTTGGCCAGGTGGGGAGTCCAGCACCTTAACCACTATACCTGCTGCCCTGGATGAGCTGAATTTTAAACAATCAGTATAAATTTTCCTGAAAAATAAGACAGGAAAGGCAATGCAGGCAAGAATAAACAAGAAAGAAAAAAGTTTACAATGAACTACAAAGTATTTATTATGGCTGGAGCTGAAAAGCTTTCTTTGGTTTTGCTTTTCTGGTTTTGTTTGTTTATTTTGCAGGTTTTCTAAGGGAACAGAGATAGGGCAAAGAGCTATAAGAGTGATTTTAATTATGATACTAAAAAACCCTTAGCAGGAGTCAAAATCATGAACACTTTAGCCCAATCACGGTGGCATGGGTTCACATCCTGAGTCAGTCCGAGCATGATGGTCTTCTGGAGTAAGTGGGGTTTTTTTGTTTCATTTTTTTGCTTTTTAATTTTGCCAGAGGGGGTGTATGCTCACTGAAGGATGGAAGGGAGGAAAGAGAGAAAGTAAGAAGGTATCTTCAAGGGGAATGATCATGCTATAATCCCCTCTCTGTTTCTCCCTCTTTTGGGGTTTGTTCACATATACACACACCCTTGGAGTATTCTAAATCTGTGACTTGAACTGCGCTCTCAGCTATATAGATACCATGACACAGTAGGCCCTTTGGAGTAAGTTTTAATCATCTTTGAAGAAAAAGACATTTTTTCAAACTGATCCTCAGCTTCGTGGCCAAAATTAAAACTGGATGGCTTATTCTCTCATTACCAACCTTTTCTTTGCCTTAATTTTGTAAGTAACTATGAGAAAAGAGATTGATAGGATCACTGGATCTCAAACTGGTGTGCATTGAAATCACAATTACCTAGCCAACATTAAAAATAAAGCCACCTTGGGCCAGCAGGTGATGTGAAGTCTAAGAAAGCTGGATCTCACATGGCCAGCTGTGTGGCCAGACCCAGCAGCTTAAAAATCACACTGGTATACATGCATGCAAGACCAAAATCCCAAGAGGAGAATGGAGGAGAAAAGAGTGAAGTATGGCCATTCCCCCAGGGGGGTGATTTCTCACTTTTTGTCTCTCTCTCTCTGCCTCTCTCTCTCTCCACAAGCCCAAACAACCTATAGCAAAACTAAAAGATAAATAAACAAGTGAAATAGAGATGCCTAGGCTAGATTCCCCCGTCAATAATCTAGGTCAATGGTCTCCAGAGGAGTAACCATACCAGGAGATACAGAAGACCAC